CCCTAGGGTTATCACCTTGGCTTTGGATCTGTACCCAAGGGACAAGCGCATCACATATACTAAGGTGAATTCCATCCTTTATGTGTGTCTACTTCGTTCTCTCATGGATGGTATACTAATTGACCCTCCGACCCTTTACACATTTATGTTTGGGCTGAGCGCCACACGTATCAGGGAGGAGTGCAAGCATAATGCCTCTCCTACCACATAGCCAAAATCTATGAGAGTGTTTGAGTGTTGAGGAGACTATCTTTTGAAGACAAGAGCAAGGAGTTCATCATCAAGAACATCTATTACCTTTTGGAGAGTGGTGTCTCCTATATAGGTTAGGTGTCACTTGGGAGCCTCCAAACTTGCGGAGTTGAACCAAGGAGTTTGTAAGAGCAAGGAGATCGCCTACTTCGTGAAGATCTACCCAAGTGAGGCTAGTCCTTCGTGGGCATAAGCCATGATTGCATAGACAAGGATGCTTCTTCGTGGACCCTTGTGGGCGGAGCCCTCCGTGGACTCACGCGGCCATTACCCTCCATGGGTTCAAGTCTCCAACGTGGATGTACGACAGCACCACCTACCGGAACCACGAGAAAAATCACCGTGTCTTCATTGCGTTTGACTATCTCCAAACCCCTCCTTTACGTTCATGTGCAAAGTCTTTACTTTCCGCTGCCACCATATTTAACTCATCGGTTGTCCTTAAGGCCCTTGGCTCGGATTTTGACAATTATGTGCACCTGCCCGCGATAGGGACCCGTGGCGGCATTCTGTTGGCCTGGACGAGTAGAGAGGTGACCATCACCATTCCTCTTTTCACCACCAACGCCTTGTCTGCTAAGGTATCTACCCCATCCGGCGCTGGCACGCCGTGGTGGATCACCGTGGTCTATGGACCGCAGCATGACGACGCCAAGGTAGCCTTCTTGCAATAGCTACACGACATCCGCGATGAATGCCCGGGCCGTGGATGCTTTGCGGCGACTTCAACCTTATATACCGCGGTCGACACGCTTGGCCACCTTTTGTGCCGCGCCACCGAGCTGGGCATCCTACAACAGCTTCACCCCCGGCGACCAATCCCCGCCATCTCGCTATATGCAGACGATGTGATCCTATTCTGCCACCCCTCGCGGGGCGCAATCCTAGCAGTGAAGGGTATCCTACAGCTCTTTGGACAGCTCTTTGGACGTGCCTCGAGCCTCCAGGTGAACTACCTAAAGAGCTCGGCCACCCTTATTCGCTGCGATGCCGACGAAGCTGCGCCTGTCATCAACTTACTTGGCTGCCCCATTGTGGACTTGCCTATCACCTACCTTGGCATCCCGTTGACGATCAAGTGCCCCTTCGCAGCTCAGCTTCAGCCCGTGGTCGACAAAACCGCTGGCATGCTCCCTGGGTGGAAGGCACGGCTCATGAACAAGGTCAACCATCTCGCGTTCATAAAGGTCATGCTCAGCGCAATCCCTATCAATCAGCTATTGGTGGTAGTGCCTACGAAGAGGATTATCAAGGTGCTTGAAAAAATCCAAAGAGGAATTCTCTAGGCTGGACGTGCAGAAGCCAATGGTGGCAACTGCCACATTAATTGGCGGCGCGTCTCACAATCGATCTCGCTTGGAGGACTCGGCGTCCACGACCTCGAGCGCACCGGCCTCGTGCTCCGCACGCGTTGGCTATGGCTAAGCCGCACCAACAGCACCAGAGATTGGAGTGGTCTTGACATGTAGTTTTCCGCCGACGAGTGCGCCTTCTTCTTCGCTTCCACCACCTTGCAGATCGGCAACGGCCAACAGGCCATGTTCTGGGAGGACCGCCAGATTGGAGGTCGTCCGGTCCATGAGATCGCGCCACTGCTATACTCCTACACCCCCAAACTGTGGACGGCCTTCAGGCTAACCACTGGGCCTGGGCGCATGCTCCTACATCCCCAAACAGCGGACGGCCTTCAAGCTAACCACTGGGCCTAGGCGCACAACATCAAGGGCACCATTGGCATCCAGGAAATCAGTAACCTGGAGCTATGGCACATGATCGAGCATACGACGCTCTCCGTCGAGCCGGATTGCCTCCTCTGGAAGTGGAGCTCGAAGGGCACCTACACCGCGAAGTCTGCCCACCTCGCCACGCTCCACGGCTCCACCACCTGCGAGCCTGGAAGCTTACATGGAAGTGCTGGGCACCGCCGCATGTCCGGTTCTTCCATTGGCTCGCCCATCTTGATCGGTGTTGGACAGCTGACCGCCTCGCCCGCCGCGGCCTGCAGCACCGCGCGCGCTGCACACTTGGCGACCAGGCGCCGGAGACCATCCAACATCTCCCGCCTGCCCCTTCTCTCGGCAAGTATAGTTCGAGGCACTAAACTGGTTGAGGATACCCTGCAACCCGCCCTACAGCGAGTCATCGATCAACTCCTGGTGGCTCTCAACGTGGCAGCTCATGCCCAAGCCGATGCACAAGGGCCTCGCCTCCTCGACCCTGCTCATATCCAGGATGCTTTGGAAGAACCGTTACGATTGTGTCTTCGACAGAGTTCGCCCCTCAGTTGCTGCACTGATGACTAAGATCAAGGACGAGGAGGCCCTCTGGCCAGAGCCGGAGCGCTAGGGCTTAGAGCTCTCACCGCCCAGACCTGGGATGTTCATTGATTTCGCGCCTTCGCATGGTATGTTTGCCTCCTATAGGAGGATTGTAACTCAAACCCCTTCCTTTTCAATGAAATATAACGCACAAGTCTTTTGCATTTTCTCGAGAAAAACAGTTCTTTCTAAAGTTATTCTCGACTACTGGAAAGTGTCACAAATCTAGTTGTGCAATAACAATAAACACAATGGGGCCCTGGAAGCGCAAAGTACTTTTTGCAGATGTAGGCAGTACACATATTAGTATGTAACCAAACGCGAGTATACAACAGTTGACTCCATATACCTGTAGACACGGGAGTATTCTGCGCAGCTGTAGGAGGTGGATACACATTATTACATAGCTGAATGTGAAGAAAAGAATTCAGATCATGATCATGTGAAGACAATATAACAATTTTTGAAATCATCAGAAATGGACAACTTACGAATAACTAGATAGTGTTCCTTGGTATGTTTCATTTACACGACGAGATTTAGCCCAATGCTTCACAATGAAAGCTAATTGCCGTAACCTTTGATCTATTTGTGCATAGTCTCTGAGAAGTTTTGTGTTAACAACTGCTAAAAGATTGTTGACACATATATCACAGGAAAGGCCTGTATCCAGATCCATAAGCTTCACTATTGGGACCCTTGCTCGAGTTAATGCCTGCAAAATTTGATTGAAGTAAATCAGAAGTTTGGCAAAAAAGATCAAATTATATACACAAACTGAAGAGGTCCTCGAAAATGAAAATTGACTGGATATAATGAATACAAATATATGATCAATAGCTAATATACAGAGACCATCCATGAGATTGTTGTATGCATAATTCATAATGGCCAAACGATATGTAAAGCAAATTACATGCTTAATGATACTGCAAGTTGATCAGAACATTATTCATATTTTCGTCAACTCAAAATATCTCTGATCCATCATAATACAACATGAGGATATGCTTATCTCGCCTGAATATTCTGGAGATTGCCAGCTTGAAGGATGTCCGCTAATTTCAGTATAATATCAACCTTGCTCATTTCCTTGTCATCAATAGAGAGACAAAGATCAATATCACTATTTGAGAAACCAAACGAATTAGCACACGATCCATAGAGGTAGAGTTTTGAATTTGGCCATTCCTTGTTTATTAGTCTGCTCAGAGCTATTACCAACTGATTCTGCTTTGCAATTTCCTCTTCTGAGGGCACCAATGAGTCAAAGATTGACAAGAAATTAGGTGTAAATTGATCTATATCATACCGACATGCCCTGACTCTCCTCTGAAATCTTACTCGTTGACTTGATACATGATGTCCTCTAGAAGAGTCTGATCTGAAGTCCTGCAAGATATAAAAGCATAACTCAAGGGTTTATCTCAAACTTTGTAAAAAATCAATTCTGAATCCTTTGGCAACTGGCAAGTTCTTGACAACATAACTGGGAAAACAGCTACAAATAACAATTCGCTCATAATTGAAGTAAAAATAACAGAAGGACGATTGCTTGTCTACTCTTCTGCACATTGTTCGCCTCCCAGGTACTAACTTCAAATAATAGGTTACAACAAGTGGCTTTTGTGTTGTGCAAACTGACGTAAGTAGCTAGGCGCTCCTTTGTTTGTGTTGTAAGCATCGTTTTAGATCTTCGATCCTAGCACTGTGCCAAAAATCTTGTAACAATTTGCCTCCTGGTATTAGTGTGATACTGGTATATCGTGTATCTTTCACCCACACATATTCAAATCAGATACATCTGAACAATGTACATGTGCCATTCATTAGGGTTTGAGCATCACAGTATGAGTATGAACTTGATCTCAGCTCTACCAAAGCTCAAAAAGATAGACTAGAGCTCAACTTTAATTGAACTCGTTAATAGGTGTATCTCTATGTACATTAACTTGTCTATTTGATGAGGACAGACATCCCTACCACTGTTACACACATAGCCCCTACTGCTACACAAGGTAGACCAATTACTAGAGCCCACGCACGACAATTAAATTATTAGGTACTTCCGTTTCTTGGAACTACTTCTAATGTTCATGAGAATATGATGCTGCCTAAATTAGATACTTTTGTTTTGCTTAAGAATGAAGGGCCTAGCATGGACAAGAAGGATGAACATTCGAGTATGATCAAGCATGGAGATGAAGGCGTACGCAGGGAACAAGAATGGAGCTTCTAGTGGTGGTTACAAGACTTTGAAGCTTCCATGATGATATACAAGGAATTGGACGAAATAAACAAGATGCCACTTCGTCCAAGTCCTCATATGTCATCATGGAAGCATGTAATTTCGAAATACCATAATGTAGGCTGTTTTTAGAGTCTGTATGGGTAGGGGAAACGACTTAGGATGGAGTTTAGTCCCACCTTCCCAAGGGAGGATGAAATTCCCCCTCTGTCCCCCCTATAAATACAGCCCTTAAGGCGTCATTTAGACTGGGGTTTTGTTTAGTTAAAAGTTAGCCATAGTTACAACGTACCGTACTTCGTTCGTGTCCAACGACCAGACAAAACCGCTTACGGAACGCCAACTTTCATCAATAAGCTTTCATCTTTATTGCAATGTCCATATTGCAAATCTTAGTTCTTGCTTGTTCTTTGATTGCTTGCAAGGATTAAAGTCAGGTTGATCGTGCTCCGACATGGTCAATAACCTCTTTTAGTTGGTTTAGTGATTGCTAAGGACCAACGTCGTCGCACGTTGTAGTTGGATCGTCAAAGTCAGCTCCACCAAAATCAATAGCTACTATCTCATCGAAAGATTAGAACACCCTTGCGCCTATTAGGTGGTATCACTATTAAATACATGGGCTTGGCTCAACTGAGCTTTGGAACTGATAGTGGTATACGCGTATTTGTTCATCCATGATCCTATATGATACACAGTTAAGTTCGATCACGTTCAATCTCAGTCCAAACTCGTGAAGTTTAACCATGCACCCTCATAGTTTGTCAACCTAGCTTCCTTTGTATCATAAAACTTGATAGTTAGTTTTCTTACACAATACATGCATATAGAAAAGTAGATGAATAAACAAATCGAATAGAAACTATTAGTTAAGTATCTTCCCCATTATAACCTGGTAGTTAGTTTTCTTAGATAACACTCAGTTATTAAGGAAAGATTAATCTTGTTAATCCTATTGCAAAAAACGGAGAGACAAAGAATTGTAGTCAATTAATCTACTCCCTCCATCACATAATATAAGAGTGGTTTTCAATAGGGGAAGCATATCTTGGTAGACAAGACATGTGGGAGGTGTTAAGGAGTATTAGTATTGGTCTAGGAGTCCGTATTAGTCTATTTCCTTCCTTGTACGCCAAGTCTTGTTTAATATGCTTCCCCCATCAAGCACGTAACACACCATACAATGACCTAAAGTCCTAAACCCAAACCCATGTTACTGACTTCCCAAACCCGACTTGATTTGAATATAATATCAATCTATGGAAGGACCTAAGTTCATTTTTGTGGATACAAGCCGATTTAGTGTAGTAATCAAGAAACGGTTTTAGAATGTGAAGAACAGCTTTAGAGTGTGAAGTGCACAAAACTTCACATTTACATGAGCCTTTCTGTATGGTACGCATGTAATAGTTTCTTCACTACATGTCATTCCTTCGTTTATTTAAAAACGTAGTCAGCTAGGTGTATCCATAACAATTGTATTCACCATGAAGGCCCTTCAATCTCCACAGCTGAATGATGAAATTACAACCCAAAAAAGAGTTGGACAGTGGTATTAACTTGTGACCTAACTTGTGACCTGTGACAAGATGGTCCATAGTGGGTTTATCTCTATTATTAAAGCTCAACTCGTACGTTGTTTCGTCCCCTCATCCCACCCCCATCACACAACATCCTGCTCCCACCGATTTTTTTTAAAACCAATACTCCTCCACCCATTTCCTGTTTCTTTTACTCGATCCCAGTTTTATCTTTTTCATCACGTCGTGCCCTAAGCACCCTGCCTCTCTCGCTCAAACTAATCTAATCCCCGAACTCCACTCACTCCATCTCTCTGGCATGGCGGGGTGTGCAGGTGAAGTTGTTCTGTTCTTCGGCTTGAGAAATGCCATAGCGTCACCAAAGTCTTTCACCTTTTGTGGCAGACTACAAAGTGTTAATTTGGCAAGTAGAATGCAGAACGTGTCACATGATCAAGTACCTAACTTACAATGTTTGTATGCATCACAGTTTAAACTGTTCATACCTCGAACTGGAACTGATGTTTGCACTTTGATTATTTCCGTGGTGAATTGTAGCTGGCATTCCTACTGTTCTAAACGATATCCTACAGTGCTGGGGCAGCGGCAATGCCGGCTGGACCGTGCAGCCAATGGTATCATTTCATATTTCAATGGTATCGAATTAAATACATGGCTCGACTTCCCGACATTCCAATGGTATCTTTCATATTTCGAATCAGTTCTTATTTGTGATCTGTTTCATACTTCTAACTAGTACCATCTGTTTTTGGATTACAACAACCGATCTATGTCATAGTCCTTGTGATATTTTCTCAGGAAAATGGACGTACTGTTTTCAAGTCAAGTTACATGATTCAGTTTAGTCATCTTTGAATATTTGATGATTTTCGGAACCTCTTTGAAGTTAGCATGGCTTCTGTGTTCACACCTTCTGAACTGTTGTATTGTTTGCATATAGCCAAACACTGAAAAGCATTTGTATTTGTACCAGATAATTTGCACTGACACATGGGGATTGGGCAGCACAATTTGTTGCACCCTAATGACAAACGGAGTTACATGTGCCCAAAAGAAAGCATACAATGTTGAATATTTACTTGTGTGGTTTGGAGCATGAGAAGATAAAACCAAACATACTTGTTATGTTGATGTGTATTTATCTTCTTTTTTAAAAAAAAATGCACGACAGTGGGAGAGGCTCCCACTGACTTTGTATTACTCACAAG